GCATAGCTATACCATACGTTTTACTAATTTTTCCTGCATAATCTCCTTTGAGTGAAATATAAGCTGCTTGAAGGCAGAGCTTTATGTCTTTTTATTCTTGGTACCTACCACAAGGTAGGCACTCAGTAGTTATTGGTTGAAAGAATTACTCAAATATTTAATGACAGTGTTTGAAAACAAAGAGTGCTAATCTAATTGAAATTCATTTTAGCAGGAGACAGAGAGTCAGGAAGACATCCTCTGGTGTAACCCTGCCTCCCCCACCACTTCTAAGATTACTCTGGTTTCAGGCTCTGCATTCTGCCTGACTCAACAAGGGGCCTCCATTTCTCTCCTGCTTGCACTTGAGGAGCTACGTAGAAGGGAGTTTGAACCAGGGCTTCAGGGAGTTGTCTGTGGACAGCTTCTGAGAGAGGGAAGTTGGGGCTTCCCGTGTTGGCTGGTCCCTTTGCTGGCAGGCCAGTCCTTTGCCACCATGCCAGCTTTTCTCAAAGGAGGCAAGAAGGGATCTTATGGGTTTTGGAGCAGGGCCACTTTGAGTATATGTTTGTTTGAATGAAGTAGGGACCGTGGGTGAAGGACCCACCTGGAGTCTGCTGTCTTGGGAGGGGGAGGTGGTGAGCTTTAAAAATAATAGAGGCTGGGCGTGGTGGCTCAGGCCTATAATCCCAGCACTTTGGGAGGCCAAGGTGAGTGGATCACTTGAGGTCGGGGGTTTGAGACTAGCCTGGCCAACATGGTAAAACCTCATCTCTACTAAAAATACAAAAATCAGCCAGCGTGGTGGCACACACCTGTAGTCCCAGCTACTGAGGAGGCTGATTCACAAGAACCGCTTGAACCCGGGAGGCGGAGGTTGCAGCGAGCTGAGATCATACCATTGCACTCCAGCCTGGGTGACAGAGTGAGACTTGGTCTCAAAAAAAAAAAAAAAAAAAAGAAGTGCAGCATTCTCTGCCTCATGCTAGGAAGTGGTTAATGCCAAACTGGGGCACCCAGCCTGTTTCTGACAAAGTGCAGCGGAAGGGAAAGCTTGGAAAGGGATCTGTAGCAGTAAAGACAGAGGAGTCACTTACAGTTTGTTGGTTCCCACCGAGGCATGGCGGAGGAGGCACAGCTGTGCAGAGCCCGGGTTGCTAATTTATATATTGAAAGGTGGAGCAGCAGCAGTGTTTATGACTAAACCCGTCAACATTTCACTTCCTCCCGTTGTGTGAAGACCGGCTTTGGCTTAAAAAACTGCCTGAACTTTCAGTTTCTCTTGAAACTTTGAGATGTTTGTCAAAGTACTGGATGGAGTTATTTTAGTAAATCAGTGATGTTTCTATGTTCCCTGAGCGAAACACCAGCTGATCTCATTTACCTGAAGCTTTGAGAAAGAAAATATTCTCTATTTTTAAAAATAGCTTTGCTACCTTGAGCATGCGCTTTCTGTATGCCCTGGCTTTAGAAGATGGGCTGCCTTATGTTTGAGTTGTTTTATTCATTGCCACTGAAATAATACATGGTGATTTGTATACCTCATATAAGGTCTGCCTCATCAGTACCCTGGCCCACCCTTTACTAATTATTTAGTTTTGTGGATTTAACCCTGTAGTCCTATTGGCACAATCAAGGGCAAAATCAAGATCCAGAAAGTCATCGGATACCTGAAATCCTTTATTAAATTGGATTTTGCTTACCCTACATCCATTGTTAGAAATGACATTCCCAGATTGTAAGAGCTGCAGAATTCTGGAACTGGAACCCTTTCTTTCTGTAATGAATTTGTGAATGAAGAAGTTCTTTGAACACAGTAGGCAAAAGGCAGGGATGTCAGCACTTGACACTTGTATGCCTTTCCTCTACTAGGCTATCTTTTTATTGTTCTATTTCTTTTCCTTTTGGCAGGTGAGTTGGGAATTAGCTAGCAGATCCGTTTGAAGTGAGTAAACTGCAAACAACAGATTTTTAGGTATTTCCCTTATAGGATATGGCTGTTAAACAGGAAGGGTGTGTCAGTTATGTGGTAGGCAACAGAATAAAACAGGCAGAACAGAATTATTATCAGATTCATAGACTGTAGCAACTTTTTGCTTCTAAACTCCTGAATCTTCAGAGGTGGAAATAGGGTGAGAAAGATCAGTAAAACTTGTTACATTCATTCACTTAACAGATATTTGAGCACGTACTTTGTGCCAGTAGTGGGCACTGAGAAATAGAGCTTTGAATAGGACAGATGTAGTCCCTGCTCCCAGGCACCTTGTGGTCTAATGGGGCTGGTAGATACTAAATATGTAATCCCACTGTTAATTAAAACTGTGATAAGTATTCCTAAGAAAATGTGCACATACGGTGGGAGTATGTAATAGGGAGACCTGGTATAGTCTGGACTTTCTTAGGGAAGTCCTTTACCTGAAGGATGAATAGGCATGATCCAGGTGAAGGTAAAGCAAGAGGGGGAAGGGAGAGCACCTAAAGCAGAGGTAGGGCAGGAGCCCTCCTCTTGGGAGAGCAACAGAAGGCCAGTGTGACTGGGTTGAAGTGAGGCTGGAGGTGGAGGCAGGGGCCAGTGTAGTGGTGCAGAGCCACTGAAGAGCTTAAGCAGAGAAGGGACATAAAAATGGTTGGGTTCTTAAAAGATCATGTTCAGATCCTACACGAGCAGGTGATTTGAGGGGGCAAGAGTGGATCTGTTAGAAGGCTATTAGAAGTGGTCCAGGAACAAGATGGTGGTGGCTTGGAATAGTATCATAGTAGTAGAGATGGAGAGAAGTGAATGGATGTAAGAGGTATTTAGGGAGGTAGACTGCATTGAACTTGGAGAATGACTGAGATAGGAAGAGAAGGGGACAATGCTTGGATTTCTGGCTTCAGAAACCATATGGATGACCATCCTTGTTCCTGAGCCAGACCTATTGTGGGAAGAGCGGATTTTGAAAGAAAGATCATGGTTTAGTTGTTGACATGCTGAATTTAAGGGTTGGAGTATCATACAGGTGAAGTTAGATCAATAGATCTGATGATCGAAGGGAGATCTGGGCTGTGCATAAAGTTGGGAGTCATCTGGGATGGACTGAAGTCATGAGAGAGAATGAATGGTAGCAGGGAGTGGGGAATGGACATTCGACTAGGAATAACGAGAGAGACCAGTTGAAAATGTATAGAAACGATAACATCAAGCATGAAGGGCCATGCCCAGTGCTAAGGAGAAATCTGGTTGGAAAATGCATGGATTTAGCAGCCATGAGGTGGGATTTAGCAACCAAGATTGGCACCTCAAGCAGGAGCAATTTCAGTGGAGTTGTGGGGACAGAAGCCGATTTTGAACACTAGATGAATGCATTGGAGGCAGAAATATGAAGACACTGAGTATGGATACCTTTTTTGAGAAGCTGGGCTCAAAGGGTAGAGACAGAGAAGACCTGCAAGAGGTGTGTAGGATCCAAGCATATAGCTCTAGATGTAAACGTCTCTACGTTTGCATATTTAGAGATGGAAGGGAAAGCATATTTAGTTGCTTAAGGTTACTGCGAAGACAGGTAGGGTGTAACCCAGAGCCCATGTGAAGGGACAGGCATTTATCTCCAGCACTTCAGAAGGAGAGGAAGAGGAGGGGGTGGATGCAGCTGCAGGTGCAGGCAGATGTGGAGGTTTGGAGTGGGATGGTAAGTGATACCCTTTTGAAAATTTCTGTTTTCTCTGTGAAGTAGGAGGGAAAGTCATCTTCCCAGATGAAGGGAGTGGAATCAGCTTGCTGGGTAAGATCAGTTCTCCAGCTGTGCTTGGCAGCTACCACTGCAAGCATGGAATAGGCCGCTAGGTAAGTTCTGCCAAGATTGAGGTTTTACTCTGTGGGAATAATAAAAGGACAAGCAACACGAAGGCTAAGGACATTAACACATGGAGGAATGGCTTCAGTGGCCTTTCAGTGGAATGAAGATTGGTTAATGCTGATGGAGAATGACTTGGCAGCGTCAGGGGGCAATAAACAGGGTAGTGGGAGTACCTGAATAGGGAACTAGCTATGAGTGCTTCTCCAACTGTAATGCTAATGTGAATCACCTGGGGATTTTAGTAAAATGCAGATTCTGATTCAGCAGGTCTGGGTTGAGGTCTCAGATTCTGCATTTCTGACAAGTTCCTGTCATGCCAGCCTCTCCCGCCCGTGGATCACACTTTGAGGAGAAATTAAAGGGTTGTGAAGGCCAGGTGTAGTTGTGCATGCCTGTAATCCAAACACTTTGTGAGGCCTAGGTGAGAGGATCACTTGAACTGAGGAGTTTGAGACCAGCCTGGGCAATGTAGACGTCATCTCTACAAAAATTTTAAAAATTACCTGGGTGTGGTGGCTCGTGCCTGTAGTAGCTACTTGAAAAGCTGAAGCAGGAGGATCACCTGAGCCTGGGAGGTCGAGGCTGCAGTGAGCCGAGATTGCACCACAGTGCAGCCTGGGTGAAAGGGTAAGATCCCACTGTCTCTTAAAAAAAAAAAAAAAAGATTTCGGACAGAGAGTGGGATACCTGAATTAGAAATCCTTTGAAATGGCATAATCTCAAGCGATAACTCACATGGCCCAGGGTATGACAGAGTGAACAAGAAGGCCTAAGAATTAAATGGCTTCCTGATCATCATCTTTAGGGATTAATGATGACTTGCACTGATTATCGCCAACACTTTTCTAAGCACCTTGCGTGTATTACCTTCTTTAATCCTTATGAGAACCAGTGAGGTATATATTGTGATCCCATATTTTACAGATGAGGAAAGTAAGGCACACAGAAGTCTTTCTCAAAATCATGCCTGCTTGTAAGTGGTGGGGCCAGAATTCAAACTGGGGTGGTACAGTTTCAAAGCCTAGTGCTCTGTGTGATTGGATGCCGTATTGTCCTCGGATGAGAGAAGTTGGGGCTGTATAGAAAGTGTGAGGTGGGAGGATCATTTGATCCTAGGAGTTGAGACCAGTCCGGGCAATATAGTGAGACCCTGTCTCTACATAAAATAGAAAAAGAAAAAAAAAAAAAAGATTGTGAGCCAGATATTAGCATCACCTGGGAATGAAGTTCAGCATGTCTAGGAGAGTGCTAGGCCCAGTACTACTGGGCTTTTTACATGTTATCCCATTTAATCCCCACAACTATCCAACAGAGTCTATTTCATACCCATTCTACAGGTAAGAAAAATAAAATTTAGGAGGTTAGGTGGTTGATAAATGGAGGAGTTGATAATTTGATCTAAATTGGTCTGGATTAAAAGCCCATTCTTCCTTTATACCAAAGTTTATCCCATAACCAGATAGAAATGGAAATTGTCTTCTAATTCTTAAATAGGTTATAGTTACCATGGGAGTAATCTCCCCCTTGCACTGACTCAAGCCACATGCTGAAGATGATGTGTTATGAACAAGGCTGAGACCAGGAGACCGGGCTTCTGGGCTCGGCTCTGTTTCTAGCTAGTAAGTTTGCACACTATCTCTATAGGTCTCACCTTTGTCCCTGTAGATCATTATCAGAGCTATATTCTATAAGTTTAAGGACAATTATTATGGCTCTTTTTATATTAGTATCTCCTGTATGCTCAGCGCTTGATAGGTTATCTCTAGTACTTACACTAGGATACAGATTGTCACCAATTTAGAAGTGAAAAAGCTGAGGCCTGGAGATTGCAAGCAACATGCCTAATACCTCTCAGTCCACAAAATGGCAAAGCTGAGATTTCTCCTGAAGTGTGTCTTACTCTAAAGCTCATGTTCTTGCCATCTTACCAGCTGCCTCATCCTCTTCTATAGCCTCATGGTGGATCCCGTTTACAGGTGCATATGGTACCATATGCTGGTATTTATCAAACTTTCAAAACCTGAATCCAGAGTGAGGCATGCATTTTATATTGATTTCGAGAAGTGTGCACACACACATTTGCATGTGAGTACCATGTACATACTGACATCACTCAAACAAGTTTTATGAAATAAGGCTTTTGTTTTCTGCTTGCTGTGCCTTGGCTTTCTTTTCCTTTTCAATTCAGTTTAGTCAGTTTGTGTTAATATGCTCGTTAAACTCTAATGAATTGATTTAACCATCCACCGATGGGTTGTAGCCCTCAGTTTGAAAAGCACTGCTGCAAATTATATGCCTACCTTAATTTCTTGATATGATTACCCCAAATCTTCTATTCTCCTTCTCTCCTTATTTTTTAATCTCTGAATTTAATGAAGACTATCTCTCTGATTATATATGTAATGGTGTTAAATCTAAATCAACCCTCCCGCCGCCACATGGCAACGACCTTTCTACCAAGTGGGAAACTATTTTATAACTTTGTTCTGAGAGAAGGAAAAAAAATATGTATTTTTTTCATTTGATGAAAATGCTAATATAACAAAAGAGGGAGAAAGAAGTGACATTTGTGTTTCCTTGGCTTGAGAAGATGAGAATGTAAGGCCAGGAAACACAGACAAGTTGAAATGTAGCCTGGGGAGGGACTGTGGCAATAGACTTACAGTAAAGGAAAAGTAAAATGATTTCTTATTCCAACTCTGCCATTCAGCATTTATTGGACTCCTTCGTGTGCCAGGTACTTGTATTTTGCATATATTATCTCAGGTGAGGAGACAGCGGTATGGAAGGCCAAGTTACCTGCCCAAGATTGCACGGCTGGTAGTGAGTGGTCTAGCAGGAATTCAGACCCAGCCTCCTGGAGCCAGTGCTCACTGTCACTAGGCCTTAGCTGCCACTCGTCTCCACTTTTGAGTAATTCCATGTGGTCATTATTGGGTGCCAGGCCCAGGACAGGGGACTTTTGCCCCCTAGGTTTTGAATCTTGGGAGGGATCATGCTAGAGAGTGAAAGATTGGAGTCAATTCGTTCCACAAGGGCAGCCAGAGGAACTCCTCATTAGTCCCTGCTTCTCCCATCTTTAGAGTTCATTTGGTTTCTATCTCTATTGAGTTCTGGTTGTTCTTTTGATTACAAGAACTACTCCATTTCCTTTAAGTAAATTTATTTATTCTTAAAATTCTGTTGCTTGAAACTAAGAATGAGCCCTAATAGGCACAGAGGAATAATTTAACTCTTCCTGTTTCCTCATCTGTAAAATAAAGGAAAAGGGCACACATATTCCCTGACCCCTCTTAACTCTCTCATCTTTAGCTAGAATTGGGTTCTAGTGATTCTCAAATGGACGTGTTCTAAAAGAGGCTGGCTGGCCCTGTGTTGGAGAAGCAGAAGTTTTAGTAATTAATTAGGTTAATATGAACTTTATAGTTATATTTTTTCTGTATTCCCTGAATAACTGTGACTCTATTATTTGTGAATTTATTTAAAACATAAAAATGACAGTGATGACTAGATGAGGTCTCTTAGCGCACATGCCCTATGCAGACCTGTGAGTCCCCTGCTCTCTGCTCACTCAACAGTTGAAGGCCTGGGTAGGAATTCTGCCACATGTGAGTTCTTAGCATAAAATCCTTATGGACCCTGTGGGCCTGGAGCTGGGTATTTCATTCATCTTCACACTTGTTCTCATGCTAAGAATTATCATCCTGCCACCACTTAAAGATGTCCATTCATGTTTGTGTGTCACTGCTAAAGTGCTGTCATTAAAGAAGATGTGTCATTACTCTGACTTTAAAACACATTGTTCTAACAGAATCACTATGGGAGATTCCAGACTTCTGTATCAGCTGGTGCTTTGAAAAGAGGATCTGATCTGTACTGGCCCCTGTGTTCACCTGTGGGGGAACATTAGACATGTTTGTTTCTTTTATGCTTTGATAACACCTTACAACTTGCAATAGTGGGACTTTGGAAAGACTGAAGTGATTGTGTCTGGCATGCTGTATGTAAACATTCCATTTCTACATAATGTGAAAAGGAATGAATTAGGTGAAAAGAAATGGATTTGCACAGGTGTTAGAGTACATAGATTTCCTCCGAAACTAGACATCAGAATAGAAAACCGAACTCAGTGACTTCTTGCCCTGCTATTGAAGGAGCACCTGTTGGTCCAGGGAGCAGAGACCTAAGGGGGAATTAATTCCTCTCAGCAAATATTTACTGGGGGCTTGTCATTCCTAGAAGTCCACCCAAAAAGAGTGGGGCTAGAGGAGAATCCCAGAGAGGGTGTAAGTCATGGGCTCAAGTGTAGGGAGGTGACTTCAAGACCTGTTTCAACCAAACCTCTTATTTTAAATTTGGGTGAAGTAAGGTCTACAGAGATTGTAACTTGTTCATGGTTAGGCCACTTGGCTAACTTGAGGCCAGACTCAGGCTAAATCTCAATAACTCTCTTCTTGGTTTAATACCATTATGGACATAAAATTTTATTATGATATTAAAATGTAAATAACAATAACAGACACCATGTAGCACTTCTTATGTGCCAGCACTCTTCTGAGCACTTTAGGTATATTAACTCATTTAACCCTCATCATTCCATGAAGTGGAAATATTTCTCTCATTTTTAGAGAAGAGGGCCTGTTGCAGTGGCTTGATGGCCGATTCCTATAATCCCAGTCCTTTGGGAGGCCGAGCTGGGAGGATTGCTTGAGGCTATGAGTTTGGGACCAGCCTGGGAAACATAGCAATACCCCATCTCTGTAAAAAATTAAAAATTAGCTGGGCATGGTGCCACATGCTTGTAGTCCCAGCTACTCAGGAGGCTGAGGCCAGAGGATTATTTAAGCCCAGAAAGTTGAGGCTGCAGTGAGCTATGATCATTCCATTGCACTGTAGGTAACAGAGTGAGACCCTGTATCTTAAAGAAAAAAGGAGGAAATTGAGGCACAGAAAAGGTTTAGTAATTTGCTCTGAGCCATGTATATATTAAATATACATGGCTTGGTTTCAAACGCAGGCAGTCAAATTCTACAGTTTGTTCTCTAAACCACTAGACCAAGGGTCGGCAACCATATCTTGGGCTTTATGAGCCATAAAACTCTGCGGGGGGGTAGTGGGAAGAGGCTGGGTTTGGCTTATAAGCTGTAGTTTGCAAACCCTACACTAGACTGTATAGCCTCACTGGGGCACAACCATTAATATCAGTGTATCCCACAGCTGCCCATGAAGAGTGAAACTCTAATTTTAAAAAGGATTGGAGGTCAGGAATTACATTAAAATGTTGTACTTTTTTGGTGTTCCTTTTGGGTGAAGCGTCCTCCTGCCAGAAAGGATGGTGTTCATCATAGCTGAGTATGGTGTTGGGAGGCTCAGAGCCAGGGGAGTGGTTTTATTCTCCTTCAGTTTTCTGGGTGACCTTGCATAAGTCCCTTATCATCTGCCACTTGTAACTCTCTGCAGTGGTGATAATGAGCCTCACCACCTGCCCTTCTCCCTCACCTAGGTATATGTCTTGGATTAATGAGGTTTTATCTGTAATGTACTTAGAGCTGGGAGTTTGGAAGGGGAAAGTATTAAGAAGGGGAATGACGGCATTCATCATTTAGTTTGCTTGCAAATTAGAGAGTGCTTCAGGGGTATAAGAACATTTGTTGAATGTTTGGCACGTAGAGTCCAATTTTAAAGGAAAGACACTCCTGGTAATCTGCATGAGAGAATATGGATTTAGAGAGCATGAATGTGTGGATTGCCTGTGCTGCAGCAGGCTTTAGGCAATGGAGTTATTTAAGATGGTATTTATTTATTTCAGTTTCTAATAAGTGTGCAATAAGCAGATTCCATAGTTGACCTCTATGTCATCTCCATAAGAAAACGTGGACTTCTCTGCTAAACTGTGAGTCTTAACAGTAAGGAGGACTTTTATAAATGTTTCTAAGTGAAATTACAAAGTTAACAGTTGAACCAAGAAGTCTCAGAGGGAACTGGCTGCTGCTTGCATTTCAATGAAAGGCAGAGGAAATTCATTACAGAGGTTGAAAATGTGGTTTGCATGTTAAGGCTGTAGTGGAAAAATGGGCCTTCCCAGGGGAGGTGGGAGGGAAGTTGTAGCTTACCCTTTGTGGTGAAGGTTCCTTGGCTAAGCACACATACTCCATCTGATGCACCCTAATTTTGTTTTAACTTTGCAAGAAAATTCTTCTCCTTCAAGGCCAAAGATGTGCATTGAACAGAAAATTTCAGCCTAGGAGAAGTTTCAGTATCTTTGTATTTTTTGTTTGTTTTGTTCTCTTGACAAAAACAATTATTTAAAAATTCAGTAGGGTGAAACGACTTAATCTTACTTTGCGAAACTAAATCTAAGATGCTATTAGTTAAGTTATAAGAAGAGCTGGTATTTAGCAAAGACATGTTAGATTCTGGGGTAGGGTAAAGCCCTACCCCAGATAAAGTCTGCATTTGTATCTTATTTAATCCACACAACAGTAACAGTCTGCGGAGGAATATTCTTGTTTGAGCACCTCTTGTATGAGGCACCTCAGTTTGCTCATCTGTAATTCTGTAATCTCTGACTCTCTAGAGATTAACAAAAATCTATTAGGTTTAAGTGGCAGAGCCAGAATCTGAATATAAGTCTTTCTGACTCCAAAATTCAAGCTAGTAGATTGACCAACAGTCCCAGTTTCCTGGGATGCGGGATTCTCAGCCCTGAAACTGGAAATGTCTTGTACAAACAGAGAATTGGTCACCCTATAAGCAGGATGCCTCCCATCCCAAGCGCTGAAGAAGTACTCATTATCAGGAAACACTTTTTGGTAAGTCACAGAGGATGTGTCCTATGCGACTTCCCCAACCCTGTTAGAAACCATGTGTGTGCACTATAAATCCTCTGAAGCTTTAAATCCTAGGGCAGTTTTGGAGCCAAACAGAGAGCCTGGGAGACTGAGTTCACTGGGATTTCTAGTATGAATGCAGCCCCATTAATTGGCTCAGTTTGTGTTGATAAAACAAGAGTCACAATCTGGCTTGTAACAGTAGTATTTGTAATTTTCACTCTTGCTTTAAAATATTGCTGCCCCGTTGTACCCACAAGTGGGTACAGTCTTAGGAAAACTTGGAAGATTTCATCTATTCCAACCCCTATCCCCTTCCACATTTTCTGTGAACTCTTTGTGCCTCTGGAGGCTTTCACTGACCACCAGAAACGGGGACCATCCTGCACAAAGCTTTTGTGGCTTATCAGTCTTCCTTCAAAGCTTGGGCTCCCTTATGGATGTGTTTCTTTTCAGAAAACACATTTTTGTTTTGATCTGTATCCAACTTCTGAAGGACACTGTGTACTTCCACTGCCTGTAAAATACTTTTAAAGAAAGGGAGTTGACACAGAGGGTCACAGATCATGAACCCTATTATTACAAAATTAATCTTTACTCAAAAGATGAATCCATATGAACATTCTGGTTTCTTTTTTCTCCTTTTTTTCCCCCTTTTCTTATTTTCTTTTTTATTTGTAGAGATGTAGAGATCGGGTCTTGCTCTGTCACCCAGGCTGGGGTGCAGTGGTGCCATCATAGCTCACTGTGACCTCGAACTCTTGGGCTTAAGAGATCCTCCCACCTCAGCCTCCTGAGTAGTTGGGACTACGGGTGTGAGTCACCACGCCCAGCTCTCCTCTTATTTTAAATATTATGACCCTAGTTCATACCCTGTCAGTGGCCTCTAGAAACTTCCTATGGTGAC